GGGGATTAACCGTCAATGTGTTTTAGAAGATACTCCTAATATTTTTTTTTTGAATAAGTACTCCGCAATACTCCCTCCGTCCCAAAAAGATCTTCCTGTTTCATTTTTTGCGAATCCTATAAAACACTTCTATACACATCTAAAATGCCTAAAATTTACTATATTTCTCATTTATTGTAAGTAGAAGTTGTTTTGAAAGTTTTTTTTACATTTGAGGCGGGATAGAAGTGTTTTATGAGACGCGCAAAAAATGAAACAGGAAGATCTTTTTGGGACGGAGGTAGGGGTGTTCATCGGGTCAAACCCGGACTGGACCGGACCGGACCGGGAGCGAATAAGAGAGATTTTGTGGACCGAGGACCGGACCGATTTAGATAAGGACCGGCCCGGGACCGGACCGAATTAATGTGGTTTTTTTAATTTGATTTTGTTTATTTAATTTAAACTATTCAATTGTATAAAAATATTACTACAATTAATTTTTAATGTATAACATACACTAAACATTTTCAAATATTGATGTTTTTAATTTTTTAAAAACTTAAAAAAAAAAACCCTCTATTCAAATTGCATAAAATTTGTTTATAATTTTTATTTTAAAATGGAATATTCTTCTTCTTATTGGTTTTTACTTTTTATAATTTTTTTGTGTTTTCGGTTAATTTTGGCAAAGGATACATTTTTTACTATTTTTATTCATGATGTTGTTTACAATGTTTTTTATTAGAGTTTTATTAGTGATAAAGTACAAATATAAGTTATAGTATTGGTACATAAATTTGAAATGCATTAGATCGCTAATACAAAGGTAATATTTACTTTTTCATACTTTTAATGTTAAAAATATTTAAATATCATTAGAATTGGTATCTTATTTTGAATTGGAATATTTATAAAAAAAATTATATTGCATAATAAAATCAAAACATTTGAAAAACCTTTAGTATTAAAGTAAAAGTAATTTTAAGTATAAGAAAAAAACTTAAAAAAACTATATTACAAACCTTTATAGAAACTAAAATTAAAAAAAAAATAAAATGTAACCGGTCCACCGGTCCGGACCGAAACCCGGTGGACCGGACCGGAACCCGAATAAAGGAAATGTGAGGACCGAAGACCGGACAGAATAAGGACCGGTCCGGTCCGGTTTTGGCCGGGTTTCGGGTCGGTCCGGGTTTGGACCGAATAATGCACAGTCCTAGACGGAGGGAGTATAAGATAATTATGAATACTCATGTACTCGAGTCCTCAAGTGATGATGATCTCTAGTCAAAAGCCCAAATTTGCAATGTAGGTGTGTCCGGGATCATTTGAAGATCAAATTAACCAAAGTCAAAAGAACTGTAATATATTATTATTATTATTATTATTATTATGATCATCATTATATTTATTATGTTAAATTTGATTCTATATTCTAAATGTTTATGGTAGAAAAAAATCAAAAATACTGAATGAAAAACTAAGAGGGGTGTATTCAATTAGAATTCTGTAAGATTTTTTAGAACTTTAAGAAGTTAGTGGATTTAGAAAATCCATTGACTCCATGCAGAGTTTGAAAGACTCTTTTGTTGATTTACATGGAATTTTTTATACTTGAGGAGATTTGTTTATTGATTTAGATGGATTTCATGTTTGTTCAACTTTATTGTTCATCCATATTGAATCAAGTACAAATAAAATAAAATTGCAGAATTCAAGCACTGCAATTTTTTTTAAACAAGGACGGTAAAATCAATAATCTAATAAGCACTGCAATTCTGCAAATAAGTACTTCAAATAAGCACTCCAATTCTTCAAGGAACACACAAATACATAATGAATGAAAATCTCTCAAATACCACTAAGAAAACTAGAGACTTGCGGAACTTCCTCGTCACCAACATCATCTAGCCATGGGACAGCACCTGGTATTCGGATGGTATACAGTACCTGGTAGAGCTCGTCCCGGAACGGTGTGTTGCCGACTCTCGGGGAGGCGAAGGATATGACGGTGATCGGAAGGCTGGGGAAGGTGGCCGTCCCCCGCCACGCCACCACGATGTCCCTCCGCCCGATCCGCCGCGTCTCCTCGTCGTCGCTCACGGCCACGAATCCGATCCAATTCGAGTCCTTGGGCTCCATCTGTTGACCAGTCGCTGAGATTTCTCTGGGATTGTTTGTTTAATTTTGGGACTCTAGGTCTGCAAGGGGAGATCGAGGGTGGGATGACCGGAGAAGATGAAGAACCGTGCGGCGTGCGGGAAGAAGAGAGAAAGATCCGGCAGATTTGGAGTCCAACAAATCCCTAGACTTTTGGTTGGATTTGAAAACAAAATTTTTATTTATACTTCAAGTCTAAAATCCTTCACAATCCATGTTGTATAACACTTCTACAAAATCTATCATTTTTTTAATACCATTAAATTTAGAAAGATTTTATAAAATTTCCGTTGAATACCTACAGATTTTAAATGATTTTTTAAAATCTTAATTGAATACACACAGACTTTTAAAATCCAAAAAAATCCTATAGAATCTCGATTGAATATCCCCTCCTAATACTCCATACTACATACTCTATAGAAATTTAAAACAAAATAACGAATAGTATAGAAATTTAAGTAAACAAAATAAAGAATAATATAGAAATTTAAGTTATCAACTAACATTTGTTAACAAATTCATATTCACTCACAAATAACTTTTAAATTTTAATAAATTATTACTTTTATAAAAAATCATTAAGCATAATAAATTTTTTGAAATTTATTTATTATTTAATGTAAATAAACGTACTTGAAACATGTGATAAATTAGTTTTAATTATAAAATTACAATTTTTTATATTAACTACCATCTTTTTTTTCTTTCTTTTTTGTTTAGACTTTAGAGATCATCTTCTATAAACAAGGCCCACTCTCAAAGTCTCAAGTCGCCCTGGCTAAAAAACTCCACTCCTTAACTTCACTCCATTCTCCCGACGGCGACCGGACGTATTCTAGCCGTCGTGTCCCAGGCGTTTCCTCATCGTCCTATCCGACTCTCCGCCAGGCGAACTTTATCCTGCAGCTTCTCCACAGAGCGTCCGATGGAACCCATGACGCCCGAAGAGTTAGAGAAGAAGAAGAAGAAAGAGGAAAAGGTTCGAGCACCCACATTTCTGGATTGTGTTCACTGCTTTCTTCAATCCCCTGCCTCCCGAATAGTTTTTCATCTTGTTCTTCCTAATAAGTAGTAGGAATTTTCGGCATTGGAAGCTGACCTTTGTGCCATTTTTGATTTGAGATATACTGGGAAACTTGAATTTTACCTGGATGTTAAAAAAATTTGAAATTTGGTAGGTTCAGATGGTTGGTCATGTTAGATCCACAATCATCTTTGTACTCCCTCCGTCCCACAATGAATTGCAATAACTTTGGTTTACTTGTCTGTTTTGATTGATTATTTGTTTTGTAGATTTTTTGACGTGATGTAATTTGTAAATAAAATAAATTTAGAAGATATCGGGTTGGTTTTATAGGTTGTTCAGTGTAATTCACTCTGTGAAAGATGGAGTATTAGCTTCCGTAGAGTAGTGTACCTTTACTCTAATGACCGTGGCGGGATTATTTTCATTGTTTAGGCTAGAGAAAAGGAACTGAAAAAACTCAAGGCTGCACAAAAGGCAGAAGCAGCTAAAATGCAGGCAAGCTTTTCCATACCCGTTTCCATTTATGACTGTGTGTGTGTGTGTGTTGAAGACACTGGGATTCTTGGTATTTACTCTTTCAATCTGTGATGAAGGCACTACAAGCCTCCTCAGCTCCAAAGATATCTAAGAAAAAAAGCTCAAAAAGAGATGGCATAGAGGAGAACCCTGAGGATTTTGTTGATCCGGAAACACCCTTGGGACACAAGAAAAAACTTTCCACCCAAATGGCAAAGGCATACAATCCTAGCGCTGTTGAGAAAGTGTGAGTTTGCATATGATGATTTTGTTACCATTTCTCTTTATTGCATGTTTAAGTTTGAATAATACTTTCATACTGTTAATACTCTTTCTTTTCAGTATTGATTTGCATCTCTCATACTTGGCAATTATTGTTGTAGTTGGTATGATTGGTGGGAAAAATCAAAATTCTTTGAGGCTGACTCTAAAAGCACTAAACCACCTTTTGTAATTGTAAGTCCTTCTTATCTTTATGTCTTTCTTGTTTCTATGTCTGTTAGCATCTTGCTTATATTAATATTTTAAAAAGACACTCAAGTGTCCATCTAGTAGGCCACGGTGAGTCGGTGACATTGCCTCGAAATGGTGATTTTCTTAGTGCTGAACATTAATTAAAAGATAAAATGTGGGAGTTAGGCAAGTGCATTTGTAGTGTAGATTAAACCATGA